ATTACAAACAATCAGACTCAATCACAGCGAGTCTATCAAGGGCTCCTGACCCAGCGCCACTAAGAAACAAGCTGAGAACCAGTGGCTAATGTAAGCACTCGCCTCTGTATCTGGTCTGATTGTTGGTAAATGGCCGACAGTAATTTACTAAAGTAATGAAGCGGGTTTATAAAAAATCGTTTTAAGAAGTAAATAACGATTGAAGTTAACTGTGATACAACATATCCAGTAGCAAGCGGTAAACCAGTAGAAGGATAACGATAGTTTTTTAACTCAGCCAAATAGCGGCGTTAACGCGGCCGCATTCGCACTCGCGCATGCACCCCCCCCTTTTTGCATGCATCTCACCGAAATTTCATGAACCCGTTCCTTTCCAATATAACCCTCACCAAATATAAAAAAGGTATTATGGGACAGAATTATCTCGGTCTAGGTTTAGGTTAGGTTAGGTTTAGGAAGTAGCGCGTTACGGCAGACTCCTGACTCGCTTAGTGAGTAGCGAGGTTCGGCTGGTCATATACTTATTAGCTCTCATAATATAGCCCGCTTACATTAAAACTGCGCTGGGCTTATAGAACGAAACCCATCGGGCATCGAGACCAATTTCCCCGATTTATATACCGCTATAAACGTCTGTGGTAGGCAATTAATGCCTCTTATCTGAACAATTCTTAAGTTATAGCCGCTACTAAAATTGAACTCTAACTATGTTGCAAGTATGACTTGCGCGTATTTCTCCCCCTGTGAACAAACATTCGATTTGCCGAACTTCAAACCGGCCAATGTTGGCGCGGTTGTGCAGCAGCGCCAGTCTAGCCGCGGAGATATGTATTTCCGCTTGTGTAGGCGGTGGCGGGTTGGTGGTATTGGATCAAAAATCATTTTGTTGGTCAATAACAATATTAAGCGATCAAAAGCATGTCAATATTAGTTTTGTCATGAAGCATGAACACAATTACTATTGATTAATTTCGTTTATGACACACTAATGTTTTTGCCACAACCAAACACACCCGCCCACCCCTTTCACTTGCGGAAATACATTAGTTCCGGGAACTGCGGCAGTAAGCTTGGTCGTCGGATTCGTAATGTGTTGATGCTATAGCCCAGCGGCTACTTAATGTAACGCGCTATAGTACTATACTAAGACTAATTACTTATTAGATAGTAGTATTTAGTACCAGGTACTTATCATCCATACTCACGTTCCGGTATACCGGACCGTTACCAGGGTACGTTCGCAGTAACCCTGGCACATTAGGAACCTCATCAGCCTTACTGGTACTGGTTACTGGTGAGTTCTGTACTGTACTAGTACTGCACAAGTTGTATTTATTAACCATCATATTTATTATTAAAACGGTACCAAGTGCCTTGAGGCACACGGCACTTGCAAGCGTATTCAACAGTAACACTACGCGCCGCCATCCGCGTCGTACATACCCACATATATATTATGAGACTTATTATATGTGTCAGTGTACGCGCGATGGCGCCGCTATGTTTACTGTTTGAAACGGTCCAAGTGCCTGGTTGAGTCAGGCAGTCTAAACGCGTCGTACTTTTATTTGTATATTTACCCAAATTTCCACTCGATAAGCTAATCGAGCTTACAACTGCGTGAAAGAACTTCACTTCACTCACATCTACACTATGTAACGATCACGACCAACGAGCTAAGAAGTGTTATGCTGTTGAATGTTATCCTAGTTTATTTGAATTCCTTTGCTCTGCGTTCGCGTCGTAATCGGAGTGTTCGAGACTCTGGACGCCATCTCTGTTACTAAGTATGTCTATCGAGCTTTTTTCACGTTTTATTTTACAGTTATGTTGCCACTTATTTCAACCGTTCACCATTAAAAAACACGGCTTTAAGACTGTACGACAGTTTGTCGGAATTAAATCCCTCGAATGACCTACTGCCCTCAGCGTACGACCCATCAGAAGTGAGAGAGAGAGGAGAGAGAAAGAGAGAGAGACGACTGAGAGAGAGGAGACAGCGAGAAGAGAGAATAGATAGAGGGACAGAGCAGAGAGTAGAGAGAGAGAGAAGAGTAAAGGACAGCCAGAGATGAAGAAGACGGCGCGGTAACGAGAGAAAAGAGAGAGGAGAGAGAAGAAAGAGAAGAGAGGACGAGAAGGCTTAAATGCTGCCGCGTAATTTTTCGATTTTCGATTTGAAATGAAATATAACCTTTATATTGCGTGTGGCTGACCTGTAAGACTTACAGTCAATTCGCGCCTCCTCGCTTGCATTTATTTCAAATTCTTGTGCATTTATTAACAAGTACATTTGAGCGTAAATTAATTCAAATCGAAAATCAAAATTTCGCGCGCATTAACTCTCTCTCCTCTCGTCTCTCTCTTCTTCTCTCTCTCTCTCTCTCTCTCTCTCTCTCTCTCTTCTCTCTCTCTCTCGCATCTCTCTCTCTCTCTCTCTCTCGTCCTCATCTCCCTCTATCTATCTCTCTCTTCTCGCTCTCTCTCTCTCTCTCTCTCTCTCTCTCTCTCTTCCTTCTCTGCTCTCTCGATCGGGTCGCTTAGCCATGAGGCAGCTAGTGTCATTCAAGGCGATTTTATTCCACAAACTTCGTACAGGCTACCGTGTTTTTATGGCGTGACCTACGTTGAAGAATAACGTGCAACATAACGGTAAACTAAAACGTGAAATAACTCGATAGACACTAAATTAGTACAGAGAGGCACGCCAACGGTCTCGTACATCCGATACGAACACGAACGCAGAGCAAAGATTCAAAAAACAGAAACATCAAGCTCAAACACTTCTTGCCTTTCGTATCTTAGATAGTGTATGATGTGAGTAAGTGAATTTCTTTCTCACGCTAATTATAAGCTACCTCGATTTGCTTCATCGCAATCGAAATTTGGGTTTAATGGATACAAAATAAAGTACGACGGTTTATCTGCTGACTCACAACAGGCATTGAACGCGTATCAACAGTAAAACATAACGCGCGCATCGCGCGTACACTGAACACCATTATATATAGTCTCTATATATATGTGTCAGTCGTACGCGCGTATGGCGGCGGCATACGTATGTTTACTTTGATATTCTTTTTTTCCGCTTCAAGTGCCTGTGCGACTCACGGCCTTGCGATCCCTTTCAATAATAAAAATGTATGGTTAATAATACACTTGCTCAGCTACGAAGTACTACTTACTAGAATCTTACGACTTACAGTACAGTAATTCTGATAGGTTCTATGTCCCCAGGGTACTGCCGGAAGTACCTGGTTACGCGTCCGCGTAATACAAACGTTACCCTGAGTAACTAAATACTACTATCTAATAACTAATTAGCTCTAGTACTAGACTATCAGCCCTTACATCTAACTGCCTGTGGCTATATAGCATCAACATTACGAATGCTCGGAGACCAACTTACTCCAGCAGCACGGAATAGTATTTCGCTAAGTGAAGGGGGGGCGGTTGTGTTGGTTGTTGGACAAAAACATTGTTGTTGTCAATATACAAATTAATAATAGAATTTGTTCTATCTTTCATGACAAAACTAATATTACAATCTCTTTTGATCGCTTAAGTTGTTACTGACACAACAAGTTTTTGTCCACAACCACCCCAACCCGCCACCCTCACAGCGGAAATACATAGTTCCCCCCTAATCCTGGCGCTGCTGCAGCCACCGCCAGAAAATGGCCGTTTGAAAGTTGCAATCGATATGTTTGTTCACAAGAAATACCGCAAGTATACCATTCAAACATGTAGTTAAGTTCAAATTAGCAGTACGGCTATACTTAAGACATTATTCACTTCAGATAAGAATCATTAATTTCCTACACACAGACTTTTATATCCGTATATAATCGGGGAATAAGTTGGTCATCGATGCCCCATGCAGTTCTTCTTATTAGCCGCGGCAGTTAATGTAAGCAGGCTATATTACTAAGAGCTAATAGTAATATGCCGACCGTACCTCGCTACTCAACTAATCGAGTCTTAGGAGTCTCCTAACGCCTACTCCTAACCCTAACTCCTAACCCTTACTAGACCGAATAATTCTTCCATATAACCTTTTAATATTTTAGTGAAGAGAGAATGAGAAAGAGAACGAGAGAGAATGAGAGAGAGAGCTAGATAACGAGAGAGAGAGATATATACTTACGTTTTTGCCTCTTAAACATGTCGGACAGATTTTTAACATTTTTCAAATTTTGCCAGCACCTCAATATATTAATGGCACCCAAGCGCATGTGTATTGTGTGTTAGATAAGGAATACATTGCGTTCGCTCAAGATAAAACACGTTATTTCTCTCCGAAGTCAAACTTAGTACGTAAGTGCCTCCATGAAACGCATAACATCTGCCAGGCAGAATGTGAAATTTATTATGTTAGAGGCTCAAAAGATTGCTTAGTTGCACTCTTTTTAAAGCACGCCGAGCACATACAAACCTATTGTCAAAAGAGGGTCAAGATTTTTTCTAACCCTAAGCATCTAGTTACGTATATTGGTAATGGTCACTGACTTTTGTCACCAGCAAAGTCATTTCGTTTAACTGTTTCATGTCAGACTACCAATGACCGGGCCCCTAGTATTACAGACATAGAAATAGCGTCACGCCAACTTGTGTCACAACAATCGGGGTGCAGTGCTAATTCTGCAGACCTTACTTTGCCAACGTTTTATTTTCACGACTCGTCTGTAAATCTCACGAAATCGTTAGCGGACATCTTACCTAAATCGCTCCAGACACCTACAATAGGAGCTGACTTAGCTCAATCAGCTATGAAAATGGGTAATGCGACAGACCTCATCCCGCAAACGATTGTTCCCCATAAACTCTATGAATCTCACGATTTGGATATAGCATATGATCATCTTAAGGACGCCATAGCTAATAGTAGAAGGATTCTTGATACGAATGAAGCAGCTCAGAAAACTTTTCAAAGTGCACACACCCAGTGGCATCAAATATTTATCTATGTTGCCATTGCTGTAATAGCAATTGTTGTTGTATATTGCTGCTGCGCTCCACCACATCTACGTCCATGCCTGTGCCAGTCATTCACCGGTACCACAGCTACCCACACCATTCTTCAACCCACTCTTGCAACCCGTTAATGCAAGCGCTCCCTTCGTTCCGCAGCGTTTGTATCCGACAGTGCAACATAACGAGATTGAGAATGAAATGCTTCAAAGAGTACAAGCTCATCCGCTTGAAAGCGTTGATAATAATGAGGAAGAGGAGATGAAAACGCTCCCTCGTTCCAAACGTTATACTAAGAAATATGCAGACTAGACTAAGAATGCTCCATAGTCTATAACGATGCACATGCGACGTATTTTGTATCACGCACTACGGTGCGCACCACTGTATGTTCACTGTATGTTTCACGTTATAATTTCACTGTATGTTTCACAATGTATTACACTGTATGTTTCACGTATTACGCAATCTATGTTACACCATGTTACACAATGTTACACCATGTGATTACCACGTGTATGTGTATTCACCAGTATGTTTACAGTCAGCCGTACGACGCACTAACTCACATATTTTAAATGCATATTTGTACGTTTATTGTTTTAAGCACTCTAGTGTCAAGTGCCACTAACCTACGTTGTATTTACATATGTGTAAAGAACACAGCAACGCTAAGCCTAGCCTCTTTTGAGCAATCCAGTCATCATCAGCATCAGCAGCAGAAGCATGAACAGCTGGCCAGCCGGCCTCCCCTACAGAGACGGAGAGGACATCTTCTGGAGCAACGAGCTAGAGGAGGCCCTTCAGCGACACCGTGCCCGCCCAACAATTGCAGTTCGCCGCTCCCCCCACGAGGAGCCGACTGCCACAGGGGGAGCGCCCACAAACGCGCTTTTTGTGCGGGTTGACCCGCCGGCCCCACCAACGAGGGAGGACTATACGACGAGCACATCCATCGCCACGCAGTGCACACAGTGCACACGGTTGCCCCTGCCAGGTCGCCGACGCGAAAACAGCCCTGCCCCATCGCCACGATCAGCGTCGATGTAACATGCGACCTCGGCCAACTGATTCGTCGCGCCGCGCGTACCCCCGCCGCTGCCGCCGCGCCTCATCTATGGCGGCACACCGGGACAAGTCACGTGCGCGTCGTGGGTGCGATGTTTTTTCTTCGATGTTGCTGCGCTTCGGCCGTCTCAACCCGGTTTCACGGTGCCGTCCACACAGCGATCACGCTACCGCCACCAAAGATGTAACCCATAGAAGGCCCAGCTGCCAGGGGTAGCACTCGAGGACCAACCAACGATGTATATTTCCACCTCTTACACGCATACGCCACTCAAACTCTCAACTCTCTCTTCTGTCGCACGGGGGGTCAAGGCTGTGTGCTGTGTGTGGTGTTGATGCGTGTGTGTGTGGTGGTTGTGTGTGTGTGTGTGTCTGCGTGTGTCGTAGTGTGTGTGATGAGGCAGTGAGAGCAGAGAGAGAGAGAGAGAGAGAGAGAGAGAGAAGAGAAGAGAGAGAGACTCGGACGAGAGAGAGAGAGAGAGGAGAGAGAGAGAGAGAGAGAGCCTGCGTCCGTGTCAAACTCCACGACAGATGGCCTCTCGCTCTCGCTCAATTCAAGGAGCTACATATTATACTCAATTCACCACTGCCACAAGTAGATTTCCGTTACAATTTGTAACGCTATTTTACTACAAGTTTGACAGCAGCCACGTTACTCGTATCCTATGTAATAAGATTTTGACTAATAAAAGTTGCAAAGA